GGATGAATCCATAGTAGTGTATTGTGTGGTGATTAGTGGACTCGTGTACGTTGTTTCACCTCCAGAGTTTCTGGTAGTCGTAGAATAGGATAGCCACAGAGTCAAAGCTGGCTTGCTGCAACTAAACCCCACATTACCCTCTTGATACAAATGCATGTATGATAGGATCTGATGTAAGTCTTGCTGAGTACCTTTGTACTCATGTTGCTTTATTTATGTTTTTGCAGCGGAGACTTCGGTCTTACTAGGGTTCTCATGGACTTCGACTAGTAGCTAGTACCTCAGCTACGATCTTGATCGGATGTTGTAGATAGTCAGGCTCTTCAGCCTTTTTCATTTGTAGATGTCTGTACCCAGACATGTAATGCTTCCGCTTGTTGCTTGTATGCTCTGTATGACGGGTCTTGTGACCCCTGTTTGCAATAATTGCTATGACGGCTCTTCTGAGCCTTTATCTATATAAGTTGTTGAGTTATGCTGTGATGCCATGTTGTACAGCACATACTTGCATGTTATGCGTACGTGTAATGTGTATTGCTATGTGTGGGATCTGACTATCTAGTTGTTTATTCTTAGTAGCCTCTCTTACCGGGAAATGTCTCCTAGTGCTTCCACTGAGCCCTGGTAGCTTGCTACTGCTCTGGAACACTTAGGCTGGCCGGCATGTGTCCTTCTTCGTTCCTGTGTCTGTCCCTTCGGGGAAATGTCACGCTTTGAGTACCGGAGTCCTGTTAGCCCACTACAGCCCGGTTTACCGGAGTCCTGCTAGCCCAGTGCTACAGCCCGGACCCACTTGCTGATGACCGACACGTTCGAAGCTGGGTCATGGATGCCTGTCCCTGTAAGTCTGTGCCACTTTGGGTTTACGACTAGTCATGTCAGCCCGGGCTCCTTATCATATGGATGCTAGCGACACTATCATATACGTGAGCCAAAAGGCGCAAACGGTCCCGGGAAAAGGTAAGACGACACCCGTGGGGATACCGTGCGTGAGGCCGCAAAGTGATATGAGGTGTTACCGGCTAGATCGATGTGACATCGAGTCGGGGTCCTGACAAACAGTTCATGGGGGTCATGGCATCAACACCGCTACCATCGGACGGAAGCCGGGCGGCACCGACAACTCGATCTCCGGACACGTCCCCGTCGCTGTTGTCGAGTGAGGAAGCCGGCGGTGCCGCACGCCATGAACTGAGAAAGGGAATGGGGAACAAGCACGAATATAGCGCTCCAATGGGACCAGAGCAAACACCACATGGGCCATCGGTCTCCGGAGGCCGGTGCACTTCCTAACCCGAATTGCCACTACGTTTTCATCTACTCGGCAAGTAGGTAGTGAATGGCATAAAGAGGGGAACCGGGGGCCACCGTGGCATCATCGTCAAGGAAATACTTGCTATGAAACCACAATTTCAAACTTGTTATTCTCATTTTGAAAGTAGAAATACAAATCACGAGGCGCATAGTCTCGTTAAACATGCTCTAGGTCTTGCCGTCAGAGGCCTTCTTTGGCTCCTACGACCTCCGGACCTACATTATTGCATCCTTATGAACACCAATCCTCGATCAATAAAGTTGGCATGTTTGAGTAAAAAAATCGGCTCATCCCGTTGCACCGCACCGCCGGTCGTCGGCGACGGCATGAGGCAATGCAGGAGGAGGAGTACGACTACAAACATGACACGCGACTCGAGATGCGCCACCATTTACTCCCACGCGATGCACAGAAAGAGAGCAGTGGCAGGGCGAGGACAACCGGTGCAATGTCTAGCCGCTCCGAGAGCCTCATCATAATCCATCCATCGACCCCCAGCAAGCCAGGTCACGGCCACGTGTTGGAGGCCCCTCTCGCCCTTCCTTTTTCTTTCTTCAGCCCCATACTGTCCCTTCCCAACCTCACACGCCTCCCAGATTCGCGAGCGCCGGGTGCGCCCAGCCCAGCAGTGCATATCTGGTGATACCGTGTGTGGCATGATCCCCTGATACGAGACCTTGTTGGCCGTTCGATCTGGAGTGAAGGCACAGGATGGGCAGGCTCAGTTCGCATTGCAATTTATGCAAAAGACACCCTGGGTTATTCCGTGATTCAGCTGAAGTGCACACCGCTCTGTTCTGTTTTCCTCTTCTTCAATACGAAATTTTCCCCACCGCCGCCGCCTAGGTCATATCCTACCGCCGCCGGCCACCACGGAGCATGCCCCATCCGCTGCTGGACGCCCCAATCAAGAGCAACCTAGAGGGCTATTGCGCGTGCGCCGAATAGTTTGCTCAGAGCCGGCAGAAGCTGTTGGCATCCCCATGGGAGCGGAGACGAACCTCTCGTCGCCGCAGCTAGATCCGACCAAGTCGCGGGAGTCGGTGACCCTACTCAACGACGATCAGGTAAGAGGCAGCGCTTCCTTTTGTCTCAGTACCTGGTCGTTTTCTAGTGCCCGCTTTCCCGATTTTGATTCTTTGGTTTTAGAACTGGATGTCGGCGCTGCGGGAGAGGAAAATCAATTCTCTAATTGAACTGGATGTCGAAACTGGCCTTATTATCTGTTCAATTCAGATGGACATATACACGTAATCTTTCTTACAAAGTGTCATAGAATGTCTCCTACATACAGTAGTTGAAAACCTCTACAGCCTAGCATAAGTGAGCATTTAGAGTAATTGACTAAAATTCATGCCAAATGAGGCTCAATAATGCTTGACTAACAGAAAATCCCAGTAGAACTCTAGGTCAGGCTGGGACCTCCCAGTATTGAAAATCTATGTACTTGTTCTCACTTTGCAGCAGCTGGAATTAGGAAAGTTTCATGAATCAAAATTACTTTATCACAGTGTAATAAGCTGACTTGCTGGCCAAATAAACTGGCCTGCTAATCAAAATAGTGTCTTCTTTGACTATCCACAAATATTATGGGTAAAATAAGATGTAAGCATTGTTTAGTTCTCTAACAAGAGAACAATGACATGGAGGACGAGTAACAGACCTTTTGTACTCGGCACTCTGAACTCAGTACATGTGTGATTGTCGACTGCTACTTTCTTGATTAACTACATAGCAAAAGTGTAACACTTGGTTGCACGTTCTTACCATTTCAAATGTGTATGCCGCTGCTGTATGTAGCGTCAGATGCTTGTTATAGACAATTGGCGGCATAGTTAAGCTTCACTTTTTTGCATGTTCCAGTAGTGTTACTAGGAATCAAAACAAATGTTTACCAATTTCATATGCACCAAAAAGTCATTAATGGAGCCGACGGAGAGCACTGGTCAGAGTGTAGGATCGACTACTCCAATTGCACTTGAAGATGACGCCAATAGCAGTTTCATGGTACATAATTTGGTGAATCAAATAATTGTGTCTTTTTTTACCATATCATTTATTTATTTATCCTTCCTATTTATTTTTCTTATTTGGAAGGATGCAAATCAGTCGGCTTCATGTGGTGGAGATAGTTAAAGTACACCAAGGAAAACAAGTAGCATACCGATCCGTGCAAGTATTGTTTGATTTTCAGTATAGAAGTGCCAAATTTAACTTACAAATGATAGTTCTAATGTAATTTTGCAGGGTTCAGTATACGTGGCTGAGTGTGACAAAAGCTTGGAGCCGGCAATTGGCATGGTCGTTGATAAATGGGAGACCGGCGAGATGTTCTACACACGGTGAGATGTTCTACACATGATCAGGAGAATTAGATGGCGCAACAGACATGCAGGTTATTTGGCATCACAGAAGTGTTTATGGTTTCACATATTTAATGTTGTACGATCTTTTGAGAGGGTTTATTAGGTTGTTGTAATTCTTGATGTTATCATGTAGATGTGCATTTCTGCCAGCATAGGATGGCGTACAAGGAGAATATGAAGTCACCAAGTGATCTGTAGTGAAGCTGTTTGGTTTAATTATATAAATTAGTGAACTAAATAATACGCTTGTAAATATATGTATATTAAGGTCATGTTAATTCCTATATCAAGATGGCAGCATATGATGCACCTTTATTTGGTGAACTGCTTCTGATCCAGCGATCTTTTGATGCTATGAATGATTTTTGGCAATTTGCCATCCCTCACAATTTGCTAGCTTGTACTATTGTTTATTGAGATGGATTTTTTGTCAAGATTTCTGCTAAATATTTTGATCATCAAAAATTTCAGATGTGAATACAGGAATGGAAAATGGGTTCACGCTGATCACATGCCAATATAATCATTATGAAATAAAATTGATGGCAACCTGAAGGCGCAAGATATGAATGTTTCAACTTGTTGCTTGCTGTACTGATGAGAGCTTACTTTAAATGTACTGAATTTTAGCATGTACTACGCTTTATTTGTTCAGCTGGGCAACATTCACTTTTGTGTTGATTGATCACATGTAAAGTAACAGAACAAGGCCTAAATGATGTGCTTTAAGTTTGGTTAACTCAAGCGTCTTGTTTTGATTCAGATAAGATCAGCTGGTATAGTGTTCGTACCTTGTTGGTAGAAACTGACGATGTGGATGTAGGGAACACATGCATAGCTCTGTTGTTGTTTCACGAAGATGGGCTGTTTTCGAGGGGGGCACATGCAAATGTACCAAGGGGGCATGTGTAAATAATAACTGAGCTGATCCTGTCCCTTGCATGTAGATCCAAGGCACCACAGAGTCCCGTAGCAGGGTATCATGTGATGGCCCGTATCACTTGATATTTTCCCCCGAGGACAACCGCCACCCCGCGAGGGCATCCCCGTAATTACCCCGCAGCTCCAGGGGCACTCGCGCCACCGACTCCCGTCCCTGCCTGCCAGACCCCGCTGCCGCTACGCGCACACAGCTACTCGTACTACATAGCCCAGCCAGCACTGGGCCATCATTACACCATCACTCAGTGGTGCTCCGCTCTGCTCAGCTCAGCGCCCTCCACCAGTCCGCCCCACTCCATCCCGAGCTGAGCTGAGCCGCCACCAGCACTAGCGGCCAAGCTCTAGACGCCGGCTGCCTCACCGACGAGGAGAGGATAATGGAGGCGCGGCGGCGGACGTTGCTGGTGGCGCTGGCGGTGCTGGCCCTGGCGGCGGCGGCGGCGGAGGGGTACAACATCACCAAGATCCTGGCCGAGTACCCGGAGTACTCGCAGTTCAACAAGCTGCTGACGCAGACGCGGCTGGCGCAGGACATCAACAAGCGCCGCACCATCACCGTGCTCGTCGTGGCCAACGGCGACATGGGCGGCCTCGCCGGCGGGGGCCGCACGCTGCAGACCATCCGCCACATGCTCCAGATTCACGTCCTCGTCGACTACTACGGCGGCAAGAAGCTCCACCAGCTCGCCCACGGCGTCACCGCATGCTCCACCATGTTCCAGGTACCGTACCGTACCAAGTTATTGCCACCGACCACCCTCCTCCTCGCTCGCCGCCGGCCAGCTGCTAGTCCCTGCTCTTACTAGAAGAGTCGCCGGTAGATAGCCGCTAGTCTCGGGTCCGAGACGGAGACGCTGACATGTGGGGACACGCTATCCTCCTGTCGGTGAGCATGAAATTAAGGGAGTAACTTTGTCGGCACCGTCCATTAGACAGTTTTTTAAGCTTTGAACCTCAGCTTAGAGTCACTGTATTAGCATCGTTGGACTCTGGACAGTTCTACCTTTTCAGGTTTTAAAGCTGCACTTAGCTCTAACTAACTGATTGCATCTCCTCCTAAAAAACATTTTCTATTGTACTACTGTAGAAAGAAAAGATAAACGTCTATTCTTGAAATAGCAGTATTCATCGTATGCTGTTTTATCCTCAACATAAACACATCTTGAATCCATTTCCGGGCCATTTTCCCAGCTGCTCCTTTGATGTTTGCAGAAAAGCCGTAGCGCCGCTTCATTATTGTTCTTCCTTCTTCGTGATGCAGTAGCAGTTGGTGGTGGATGGGGTTCCGGATAGAATCATAGAATAGCGAAAGCTCCCATCCATGGTGCTGGATGCCCTGCCCAAGCCACTAATCAAAGTTTAAAGCTAGAGATATGGTACTCTACCAAGCAAATAGGGGCCACCCAAATGTGGAATTAATGGCGTCTTTGTACCACTATCAACAAATGACAATGTCGCTTCGCTGAAAAATACGACCCACTAACTAATTTTGGTTCGATACTGACATGACACACGTCGCTTTCGAGGCTAGGCCGGGCCGGCAATGGTTTTATGCACTGATGTGGGTGCACATGCACATGCCCGGCCAGTCTCTAAATTATTGGCCTGCGTGATTATGAAGCTGTCGAGTGAGTGTAGTGTAGCGTAGTGCACAACGGTCGCCGTGAGTCGTCAAGTGGCCTTTCTTTCTGCCGATTTTATGGTCAATCATCGACCCATCGAATCCCTCGGCTAGCGGGTCATTTGAAAATGATGGGAATTGGAACTCCCCAGGCTGGATCTCGCCGTTTTTAAACTAGTTTAAGCCTTGGAGTGATAGATAAGATTGCCTCTTTGTTTAGATTCTTGTAGTATGGAGTGTGTTGCCAACTTGCTGTCGAGTCAACAACCCACTGGTTAGTTGCTTCAATTTGTCTTTCTGATTGAGGCCAAAACAGTGTACTCCACGTTTGTAATAATTTCGGGATTACTGCACATTTGCCATGAAGATGGCCTACTAATTGGAGCAGTACTAGTGTACACATTTGTCACGGAATTCACTAACTCCAAAAGTAATTGGTTGCTATTAAGCGCCGAATTGAATGGGTCACCCTCAACGTGGACAATCCTTTCCTACTGGCTACTGTTTCTCTGTCTGAAAACATGGGCATGAAGTAGGTGAGCTTAATAATTTGGTTCGTGCAGCATCAGCTAGGAGTATCTACTGTACATGAATTCCCATCAATTCAGCTGCAAATGCTTAATTATGATCTTGTTAGTACGAAACCTTTCTACTAGTTCGCCGCGATTAACTGAGATGGGTTAATGGTCGTGGTGCAGGAGTCCGGCGCGGCCCCCGGCATGTCCGGGTACGTGAACATCACGCAGCACCGGGGCGGCAAAGTGACGTTCACGGCGGAGGACGCGGAGGACAGCGCGCCCTCCTCCGCCTTCGTCAAGTCCGTCAAGGAGATCCCCTACGACCTGGCGGTGCTCCAGATCAGCAAGGTGCTGGCCTCACCGGAGGCCGAGGCGCCCGTGGCGGCGCCGGCGCCCGTCAACATCACCGAGCTGCTCTCCAAGAAGTACTGCAAGAGCTTCGCCGGCCTGCTGGCCGCCGACGCCGACGCCTACAGCACCATCAACGCCACCAAGGACAACGGGCTCACCCTCTTCTGCCCCGTCGACTCCGCCGTCGCCTCCTTCATGCCCAAGTACAAGAACCTGACGGCCAAGGGCCGGACGGCCATCCTGCTCTACCACGCCGTGCCGGACTACTACTCGCTGCAGCTGCTCACCTCCAACAGCGGCAAGGTCAGCACGCTCGCCACCTCCAACGTCGCCAAGAAGGACTACAGCTTCGACGTCGAGAAGGACGGCGAGACCGCCGAGCTGGACACCAAGGTGAACTCGGCCTCGGTCACCTACACCATCAAGGACGACGACCCGCTCGCCGTCTACGCCATCTCCAAGTTCCTGCAGCCCAAGGAGCTGTACAAGATCGCCAAGGACATCGCCCCCGCGCCGGCGCCCGAGGCCCCCAAGAAGAAGAAGACCACCAAGAAGAAGCCCTCCGCGGCCGCCTCGCCCTCGGACGACGACGACGACGATGACTCCGCCGCGGACTCGCCCGACGACTCCTCATCCGACGACGCCACCGCTGACAAGGACGGCGCCGCGCCGTCCGCGGTGGCCGGGTGGGTGACGGCCGCCGTGGCCGTGGCCTCGGCGCTGGCATTGGCAGCTTAATAAGGTGTGTGAACTAGTGTGTTTTTGTGCTGAGTTCTCCCAAAATTCGTGGCCCTTGTTATTTAGCGCGAAAAACAAGAAGGGCCATTTCATTCATATTTATTACCGCATGTCCTGAAGAAAAAGAAGGGAAAAGACAGGAATTTCCTTGGTTTTTGTTGTGATGATCATTTTGTAATGATAGTGGTCAATGGTACTGGAATGTGTGTTTGTGTTTATAATACTACATATGACAGACATCCTGGAGCTTAGAGTGATGTACAATTTTCTAGTTCTACCACTCTACTTTTGCCTTTTAAGCTGTTCGAATGCCGAACTTTCCCTAGCGACTCGTCAACTTTCATGGAGAAGTGGAGCTTCCCGTGTGATCGATTGATTTAACTTTGCTTGTTCAGCTTGTAAAGGGCACGATGTTGTACCCCTTTGCTTCTACAAGGGCATCCTTAGGGTTTCTGGCGCCTCACGCTGGCACCACGGCCGGTCTACCTCATCTCTTATGGTTTAGGGCCATGCCACGGAGACGTGGGCGGGCTTCGGTTTTTAGGTGATTTTTTGAGTTTTATTAGGGTTTGTGTGACAGTGGCTCTGAAGATGAAATAAGATTTTTCTCGTCTATTTCAGTGGTGCTTCTAACGTCATCAGAGGGTCTGCGAAAGTTTGTCTTCGGCTAATCTTATGGGTTTGGCTAATATTATCGAAATCGGTCAGCGTTTGTCTTTCGTGGATCCGATCTTCATTTGTCTTTATCTGTGTGTCTACAGGTTGGACCCATTTGATCTACGTGTCTCTTCGTCAGCGTCAACGACGGTTGTCGTTCTGGTGCATTGATCCTATATGGTCTTAGCATGATGACTTTCCTATTATCTACTATAATAAAGTTTGTGCGACTCCGTGAGGGAGGAGGGACAATGACAGCGGCACGTCTTCGACTTGCTCCAATTCTTGTAGTCATCGCTAGGTAGTCTACAGACATTGGAGAATGCCTCCTCTTTCTAGCGACGACTACAAGTGTTGGAGCTCTTTGGAAATTAGCGCGAGGTCTACCTCCTTTTGCTTGACCTCCACTTTCTTGGCTCTTGACCGGTCATTGGCATCATTGAACTCGAGCTTCTTCTTTTGTATTTCAAAGAAGTTCTTCATTGCCTCCTCTTTCCACGCTTCCTTTCTTCTCTCTCTTTCCTCTTCTACTTGACACCTCCTTTTGAGTTATGAACCCTTTTAATATTTCTTGCAAGACGGGTGTTGAATCATCATGCTTTGAATTTAACTTGAAGTTGGTCTTCCCCCTCGGTCTCCTCTCACTTGGGTCGATGACCGATGACCACCCCACCTTTTTTGGGATGCATATTGGTCTTACCGCTTTCCACAATCTTTCTTTGTCATCCAACAATGAGTTAAGATAAATGGCCTGCCCCATGTTCGGCCTTGAAGGTAAAAAGCTTTGATGTGTTCGTTTTTTTGATAGCTTACCACATATTCCATGTGGTAAGATATCCAAAGCTTGAAACACCTACATATATAGATGAAACCAACAAGGTACATTCATATGTATGGAAGGATGATATATACTCATATGAACAAGGAAACAAAAAATATACCAAGTCCTTGATGCCAATGCCACTCACGGGATGGGCAACGACATGACCATAGGAGCCACAAAATTTGTTGCACTCCGCTTGGGTAAAGCTCCACCTCTTCTGAAGCGAGGCACTCTCAAATTTGTAGGGCTCAAACTTCCTATGTTCATGGAAGAATTGCTGGCCCTTGTTCGAAAATGTTCCACCTTTTTTGCCTGGTGTAAATTTTGGGGTCCTGTCCAATTTTCATCCAAGGCTCGCGCAACGCAACTTGTCCTCGTCCTCCGTGTATGCTCCAGTCCTCATGCTTTAATTTGACGCCTCTTTTTATGAATTATGACCGGGCTATTTGAGCTAGCTCATTCTCAAACAATGGTTCTTCCTCGATGCTGACACTCTATTGGCATTCGGTCTCTTGGCCACCATCCCCTTGGACACCCTCATTGATCATGTCGCAATGACATCATCTTAGTACCTCGGGTCGTCCGGCGTCAGGGCCGGCATTCCATCAAATAGGTTGCGGGCATCGGGAAAGTTGGCCGGGAAGACCACCCATGAGTGCTTCCTTTGCATCGCAGTGGACTCGCCGGCCACATGTGCGACATTGAGATCAAGGGGAGGCACCATGGGGATGATCGACACGAAATCAAAGATTTTTTACAAGGGGTCTCGAGGTAAGGTGGAGAAGCAGGACGTTGCTTGGTCATGTCCAGGAAGGTACCCATATGTCGGCAGTGATGTTGACATGGAGGGCGACTCCGAAAGCCTGGGCGGTCGGGCTGCCGCCGAGCCCGTGCTGGTCGCCATAATGGCGGATGCGAGAAAGGTTAGCTTGTGGACAATCCCTAGCATAAAGAAGGAGGTTTGCTCAGCCTTAGCGACGATGACCTTAGTGTCCGCAACGGTGGCCCGTGCCTGAGCGGTGACGACAATATCTTCTTTTGTCTTGACCCTCTGCTTCGCCGTCTCGGCCACTCTCTGCTCCGAGGTGAGCTCTTTCTTCCGCTTCACGGCGGCCACGACACGGGAAGACACGGCGAGGACTTCGGTAGGGGTGGGTGCATCGGCCACGACTAAGGTGGGCATAGGGTTTGGAAGAGGAAAGGGCGGACGTGAGATTTGGGAGAGTGGAGATGGTGTGTCATGGGTCTACGATATGACAGGCAATGTTGCCAGTCAGTGTGTTAGCATCGGGTTAGTGAAGAATTGTAGGGCGTGACTTACTTAAGGGGAAAGAGCGGGTTTTCCATTGGGTTTTCTGGGTCTTTTTGTTTCTTTGTTTTCCCTTGTTTTCCATCGGGTTTTCTTCGTTCCTTTCTCCATTTCACCATTTTTTCCCTTTCTTTCTTTCTTTTTCTTCGGTTTTCTTTATTACTTTTCACGATTCTCATTTCATTTTTTCTTTTCTTTCCCTTTTCTTTGTTTTGCTTCGGTTTGCTTTGTTTCTTTCTCGATTTTCAATGTTTTTTCTTTCTTTTATCTTCATTTTTCTTTGATTTTGTTTTATTTCTTTCTCATTTTCATCTGCTTTTCTTCTTGTTTTCCCTCATTTTTTATTGTTTTTCTATACATGTTTTGGTATATATATATAATACACTTTAACATTTTTACATAAAAGTTTAAATTTTCTTGAATAAATTGTCAACATTTTTTAAATATGTTTCAAATGCTTGTTAATATTTTTTGAATACATTGTCAGCATTTTTTATACATTTTTAACATTCTTTTAAAATGCTTTATTAAAAAAATTCAAATAAAAGATTAAAGTTGTTTAATACATGGTCAACATTTTTATATACACATTTAACATTTTCCAAATGCTTAATTGACATTTTTATGTACAATGTAAAAAAACATCATCATTTTCTAGTACATGGTCAACATTTTTTGTACACATTTAACAGTGTTCAAATGCTTAATTAACATTTTTTAAATACTTTTTCAACACTTTTTCAAATACTTGTATACATTTTTCATATATGTTATAATTTTTTCCCTATGCACATTTAACATTTTTCAAATGATTGGCAACATTTTTCAAATGTTTTTTGTAGATTGTTTTTTTAATATATATTTAAAATATTTTAAAGTATAAAAAAAATCTGAAAATAAAGCAAAAACGAAAATAGGAAACATAAAAAGAAAAAAAAAGAGAAAATGAGGCTGTGGCCACCTATGCGCGTGGGCTGACCCATCTCGTGGCTAACCCAGCCCAAATTTGAATTATGAAATGGGTATGGACAGCAAAACGGACATTAGTCCGTTTGCGCACTACGCTAGGCCGTGGTTTTTGTCCGCACGTACAGAACACGGATGCAGTCGGATGAAATGCGTTGGCCTGTTGGAGTTGCCCTAAGTTTGCCTATGCATGAACACTACAGAAATCAAATTAAACCACTAAAACCCCCGCATGATTAAGTATCTCCATAACCACTGGAATTATGTTCAGAGCGAAACATTTATTTATTTGACTGAGGTTTCATTAAGTGTTTGGCCTGCTGCATATTCTCATTCCTCCCCAAACTCAGGGTACATGCTTGATCTGTGTGCGTGCGTATGTTTTTTCAATCAACAGCGGATTTTAAAACGAAACCAAACCAGACACAAGTTCCATGTTCAACATCCATAACAACAAACCAGCGCAAGGGGCAAAACTACCATATCTCAGCTGTACAACTAGTCTCAACACAACCTTATATACTATAATAACAAAAAGCCTAAAACCAAGGACACAACTAGTCTCAACACAACCTTATACAAGGGACATGTTGTCACTCATCGCTGCATTCTTCATCAGGAACGCCCCAACTTAGCTCCCTTGCAAGTCAAAGGGCAGGGCATCGGCTGCAAGGCTCCACGACATTCAACTTAGCCGTGGAGGGAACTTTTCCCTCGACGTAAGTCTGGATAGCCGCAAGCGCTTTAGGGGCTTCCATAAAAGTTTCTTTACCCACAAAGCATCTGTCAATCTCGGAACAAGTCGGCCCACCATCAGTTATGTCCAGTGTGAGGCACTCGAGCGAGGGTGTGCTGTCAAGAATATGACATGTGAGCTTAACCAATAACTTTGTGGAGCGGAATTTAGTGATCTTCACATGCCTAAGATTGGCATAGCATTGTCCTGGAATCCGCCCCAATTGTGAGGGGGGGTCTTCAAAAATTGAGTCATGCTCCCGGCGTCTCATTGGTACCTGCAGATGAAAAACCAACACCCGTGAATTTATTATTGCTCTAAACAATACAGCAGTCACTAAGAAATATCTCAGCAAGCCAATAGTTACTTACATCTAGGTTAAAAGTCTCCAAGCAAGGAGATGCGTCGAGACAAGAAACCAGCAAGAAAAGATCATAGTCCGCATACCGAGGTGCCGAGGCAAACTTCCATCCAAATACAGAAATATTCAAATACTTGAGGTGGAGGAATTTGCTTGCTAGCGTTGGTGTACTGACCATCTGCATAAATAAAAATATCTAACATCAATCCCTTTGCTATATAATGAGATACGCATATGTCCATAGACACCTCAAGCTCTAGAGTATGTACCTCGTAATACGAATGCATAGTAAGAGTTTCAAGATTCGGCATACTGGATGTGAGCACGACGAGAGCATAATGAAGAACGCAGGAATGTGATATGAAGATTTCCTTCATCTGCAGTGATTCTCCAAGAAATAGCTGTACTTGTTGATCGACATCGTCATCATGAAAAACATCATCATCATGGAAAAAGTGAAAACTGGAGATATTTGGAGCCTCGCTTTCAATCACTTGCAGCATGGAACAACCGGACACCATCACGTAGCTGAGGCGCTGCAGCAGGGAAGGTATCTTTATAGAAAATATCTCACTGCAATCATTGAGTTCCAATCGCTCCAAAGCCAGAGAATTGGAAAGAAGGAACCCCAACTCATCACTCTCAATATTCACACAAGACAGACATAGACTCGTCAGGCTTCCCGTGCAACCGATTCCTACCGTGGGGCGGAAGGCGCAACCTAAAAGGTCTAGCTCACGAATGGTGTTTTCACTGCCATTAGATAAAAGTGAGCATGGAAACTCGTAGATTGCTTCGTTTGATAAATGGTCGATATTTGAAAGTATGAGGCTGAGTTCTTCTATGCCTGGTTTAACAGCAATCTGGAGCCAACTATCAAGACAATTTCTAGTGTTGGCATTGTAAATACCATACAATTTAAGCCTGAGTGTCTTCACACCAGTGCCTAAGTGGTTTCTCAGAATATGGTCAACTCTGCTGTTGTAATCTCTTGTTGTTATTCTCCGCCTACGTGCATTTTTCTTGTAGCCCATTGTTTTCTTACTGAAGGTGAGGTTGGGCCGGCACCTCCAGAAACGTTTAAAGGAGTGAGACACGCTCGCAGCACGCGCAGCATCTTTCAGTGGCAAAAAGGAGCATATATGACGCCAGATATCCTGCATGCACAAGTGCACAAATTCAAATTTTGAATTGCAGAGGCAAAAAGTATTATTAAGTACTCTATCCGTTCCAAAATACTTTTTTCTAGAACTGTGCTAAGTCACACTTCATTAAGTTTGATCATGTATATAGAAAAATATATTAATATCTTACTACATCGAATACATATAATATTAGCTTGGTGTTGTAGATGTTGGTATATTTTTCAGTAAAACCTGGTCAAACTTAAAAATGTTTGACTTGGAACAAGGAAAAACCTCAAGTATTTTGAAACAGAGGAAGTACAAGGTAATAAGACCAAAACCTTTGTGCAGTGTCAGACACAGCATCAGGCATGGTGTGCATACGTGTCCAGGTCGTGGCTAAACATTTTCACGTAAGAAGAACAGTTGTAGCTTCAGACAAGGCTGGGACAGGGTAGGAGCATGTCATCTGACATGCATGGCCTTGTGCAGTGGAACACGCAAACTAAGAGCATAAGCCTTTGGAAACTAAACGTTCACAGGCAAAAAAACAGCCATCGCAGGCGCAACGCCCCTTCTGATGAAAACCAGGTTTTTCAGCACATAAACATCCACATCTTATAGGCGAGCATACCTTAGTCCAGTTGACCAAACACTTCCCTCCTTTAGCATCCTCAATTCCTCATCACCGCACCAAAGAAAGCTTCTACGGATTTTGTCAATCTTTTTGATATGCCACTTGGAAGGTGTGAAAATGGTGAAGTAATAAGCACCGAGTTAACCAGACTACCAGAGTGAGGCGGCCCATTTTGTCCAGGAGCTTTCCCTTCCAGGGCTTTAGCCTGTCAGTAATCTTATCTACTAGGGCTCTAATTCAACTCGCCTACGCAATCTGGTAGGTAGGGGGAGGACCAAATACTTGCAAGGCAGGGAGCCCACCCGTCCTCCAAAAGCAGATAAGATGTCACTGGTATCAAGGTTCTCACATCTTATGGGATAATAAGCAACACACTTGCCGAGATTCACTTTCAGCCCAGACAGAGCCCCATAGAAATTTAGAAGACCTGAGACCATCAACAGGATTTATAAACAGCGCTGCATCATCAGCATAAAAACTGGTCCTCCTCTTAGCAGCTCTTTGCATGACCAGGGAAAAGAAGGCCATTTTCCATAGCAGAGTGAAAAAAAAAGATCTTTTGAAGAGGTTCCAGAGCAAGAATAAAAAGCATTGGGGTTAAGGGATCCCCTGTCTCAGACCTTTCCTGTGCATAAAAAGCCTTCTTGGATCACCATTTAGCAGTACTCGAGAATAGGAGGTGGCAAGAACTAGGGAAATCAAGTCCTTCAATTTGGAGCTAAAACCAAAAGCATTGAGAACTCCGATAGGATAATCCCAACGGACCAAGTCTAAAGCCACGGCAAAGTCGAGCTTTGCGAAAGCAAAGGTTTCTTCTTGGTGTGACTTCTTTCAGAACACTCTTGACGAAAGAAAATTGTCATGAATGGATCTTCTAATGAACGCACTCCGCCCCGCCGAAACTAAAGAATGCAACTCTGGGGCGAGCCGAGAGGCGAGCAATTTACCAAAAATATTCATGATACTGCGCATTAGGCTTACCGGCCTAAAATCCAGGGCAGAGGAGGCATCGTCTTTCTTCTTCGGGGTGATAATGAGAAAAAAGGAACAGGAAAAAAATGCACGTCACAAGTCTGTCATAGATCTGCATCAGACACTAGTGCATGACCCAAGACTCTTGTCCTCTCATTCCTCCAGTTACCTTCCTCTACATCTTGCGTGCATCGGAGAAGAGGGTGGTTTGGGAGAAGAAGGCGGAGATACAAGAAAAGATAAAATCTGCTTGGCCCGGCCTTTTGCCATCTCTGAAGCTGCTCCATATATTGTTTTAGCAAGTGGCAGCCAATGATCTACAGACGAAGCCTTTGAGGAGTCATGGGGACATTGTAGAGAAAACTACAGGAAGTGGAGGAAATGTGCAATTCATATGCAAGTACAACACATGGTTAAAGCACACTTGCATAAGACATCCGAGGTTTGGCATCTTCAAAGCGAAGTTGCAGATGCTGGAGAAGACTAAGATTGTAGAACTAGTTGCTGCATTGCAGCGAAGTTTAGATACTTATCCTAGATTGAAGTTTATTACATAACTCATGTTGAGCATTGTCTTCTAGCTCATCCTAGTATATTGAACATTACCCAGCTTTTTTGATCCAGAACTATGATAAATTGGTAATATCAGAGTATAGGACGAGTTTCTTGTTTCAGTTAGCACAAATATATATTATATGTAGTACACACATTACATCAATTATATTATATTTAGTAGCTGGTGGAATCACTGGGTAGCTTAATGGTAAAACACATGGCCGTGCTACCAAGCAACCCAGGTTCAAACCACTTTCCTTGGGTGTGCTAGTAGCCCTAGGCAGCTAGGCTAAGGACAAGCTGCAATGGCTTCAAAGGTGTTTTCACCGTAGTAATCAGGGTAAATGAGACACAAGATGTTGCTGGTTCCAGGAAAAATAGTTTTACAAAGTATGCACATAATAAAGATATAAAGGAATCAGATACTAGAAACAAAGTTGTGTGCTGGAGAATTAAAAGTGCAACCATTGTAAGTTGGAACAGAATCACAGCTACCAAGGATTGCAGCCGATTGCAGTTCACTCATACATTCAGGTAGCATAGTGATATATAAATCTAATATCGTTATAGTATTCCGTTATCAGCGTTTCTTGACATACTCCCTCCGTCCGCGAATAAGTGTACATCTAGCTTTTGTCTTAAGTCAAAGTTTTAATACTTTGACCACCTTTCTAGGAAAGAGTAAAAGCATTTATGGCACCAAATTAGTATCACTAGATTCGTTTTGAAATGTACTTTCATAATATATCAATTTGATGTCATATATGTTATTACTATTTTCTATAAAGTTGGTCAAAATTTTAAAACTTTGACTTAGAACAAAAGTTAGATGTACACTTATTCGCGGACGGAGGGAGTACCTCCGGAAGGCTTGAGCCTGAATATGTTAATCTTTTGCCAGTTTGAGAAACATCCACTTGCGAGCGCTTTAGTTTAGCAACTGAACCAACTGATACATCTGCAGCAGGTCATCGTTATGGTAAGTAGACAACGGCAAACGAAGGAACACAGCAAGCACATCAACACACATATATATTGATCTAATATAAGTATGACCCGTTGTGCAGCTTTGTGCAAGAATACCAATGACATTGTAAGAAAGAAAAACTAGTTCCAATTTTATAAGAAGGAAAAGCTTTCTTGTAAAATTTCCAATAGAACATGACAGCGACACACACAATACAGTGAGATCTGAGATGGATATGCTTGGGCAAACTGTCTTTGCACGCCTCCCTACCAAGTCAATATTTTTTGTATGAACAACTGGAACATAAAGGGGGCTAATTTGTTGCATAAGGCGGTGGAGTAATACTTAGTAGCCTGAATTTGAGACCTACAGTATGTGCCAGACAGGGCATATGAAGATAAAACAACAGAGACGAAGAAGCAGTGGCTTACGGCGGCCTTGGATTTGCCGGCGACGAGGATCCTGCTCCGGCGACATCATAAGACGGCGGAGTGATAGCAGCCGGTGGGTCGACACGGAAAATCCCCTCTTTTTCCGCCCTGCCTCTTCTGACTCTTGAGCCCTCTATTTTTTGGGTTTATTTGCACCCAGTTCGTTCGGGATTTTTTCTTGGGAAAAGGAATCCGCGTGTGACCCCGGGCCTCTCCTCCTGTCCCCTGACTGGGCAGGCAAAGCGAAACCCTGAGAAACTCTCTCGCATGGGCCTACCAGGAGATGTTTTTTCTTTTTAAGTTGCCCTTCAGGAAAAAAACATATTTCATCATGTTTTTTTAACACATTAAACATCGGGCAGCGCTACGCGTCGGCCGGCGGATAATGAAAAAATATCCGCCGCCTCGCTGACCATTGGATGGACATGTCAAATAGCCGTCCGATGCGCCCACGTGAGCAACCACCACTTTTGCAACAAGGGTGATGTTGCAGAAAATTTCCACAACAAGAGATCTTGTTGCAAAAAAATTATGCAACATATGTCTTGTTACAGAAGTTTTTCGTAACAAAGGCTTTGTTGCAAATAATAATTTAGGGAGTTTTTTTTTTCTGAAACAGGGCCCTTTTGCAACGAAGAGGCTTGTTGCAATTGAAACATGCCCTTTGCTGCAGAAACAAAACCGCCTGTGATGCCTTGCCGCCTCCGTTAGAGGAGCTTGGCGACATGCCGACCGACTTTGTGGGCATTGTTGCAGGAGCTTGTTCAACCAGATCCAGTGAGGTGAGCACTGCTGTAGGAGCTGGGGCGGCCAGATCCGATGAGGAGGTCGGCGGCGGCCGTGCCGAGCTCGAGTGCACCACGAGCGCAGACAGCCCAACACGGAAGCAGCGGCTCTCGCGCCAGACCCGGCTGCAACGGCATCGATTTGTTATATCCGCCGATCATTGTAGAGATATATAGTGCTGAGTGGGCCCACATAGGACACGCGTCTCACGTACAAGATGGCGGAGGTTCTCGACTGAACGATAGCTTTTTCCTTAAACATCATGACACCCCTAAAAAAATTAGAACATCATGACAACACAAAAAAATATCATCATAAGTAAGATAAATTATATCCATGTCCATAGATCGTCGTGACTACAATCACCGGAGCAAGCCAATGGCGCGCCGCCATCATCGCCCCTCTCTTATCGGAGTCAGACAACTTTGTTGTAGTAGACAGTCGGGATGTCATCTCCTTCTCCAAAGCGAACATGAGACTAAGGTTCCCGCCTCCCATCGGCGGCGCAGCCGATCTGCCTCGTCTTCTTGTCACGCCCAATATGCGAATCTATACTAAAGTGACTCAAAGGTTTCACCAAGGATAGAACCGCATATTGACACGCTTTTACAAGGTGCACATCATTACATCGTACCATGACATAATAGTCGGGATACATACAAAAGGCATACAATGCCACAAGAATACAACAATACATCATACATAAGAACAACATCCAACTACAGATGAAACAAAAACAGAAGATCAAACGACATTCACCCTGCTAGCCTAGGTTGCCGACCAGGAACCTAACCCAAGATCGACGACGAAGAAGAAGAACTCCAAAACATGCAAACATCGCTCTCACATCATGATCATCGCATTACCTATCCCTGCAACTGTTGTTGTTGTAGTAAACTGTGAGCCACGAGGACTCAGCAATCCCATTACCATGGGTATCAAGACTAGCAAAGCTTAATGGGTAGGAAAGGGGTAAGTGGTGAGGTTGCAGCAGCGACTAAGCATTGCATGGTGGCTAACTTACGAATACAAGAGTAAGATGAGAATCTACGCAAACGGTCGCCAACTAGTAATGACTAGAAAGTGATCCTGAACCACTTACGTTCAAACACAACCCAACCGTGTTCTCTTCTCGAACTTCCCCGAAAAGAGACAGTCATGGTCACACAACTCGGTTGGTGTATTTTAATTGAGTTTACTTCAAGTCCTCTACAACCGGATATTAACAAATTCCCATCTGCCACATAACCGCGGGCACGGCTCTCGAGAGTTTAAACCCCGCAGGGGTGTCCCAACTTAGCCCATGACAAGCTCACGATCCGTGGAGACAATCCTCCATCGCGGGACCTTCTGGTCAGACTCGGAATCCCGGTGCACAAGACATTTCGACAATGGTAAAACTAATCCAGCAAGACCTCCCGGTGTGCCGACACCCTGATAGTAGCCGCGCGTATCTCGTCTCAGACCACGTCCGGTTGGGTCAGTGATACGTCTCGAATGTATCTATAATTTTTTATTGTTCCATGATATTATATTATCTGTTTTGGATGTTTAATGGGCTTTAATATGCACTTTTATATTATTTTTGGGACTAACCTATTAACCGAAGGCCCAGTGCAAATTGCTATTTTTGCCTATTTTAGTGTTTCGTAGAAAAGGAATATCAAACAGAATCCAAACGAAATGAAACCTTCTCTAGGATCTTTTTTGGAACAAACGCAATCTAGGAGACTTGGAGTGGAGGTCAAGGAAGCCACGAGGCGGCCACGAGGTAGGAGGGCGCGCCCAGGGGGTAGGCGCGCCCCCACCCTCGTGGG